ATCAATTTCAAATTTCAATTTTCAACGCAATGAAAAATAAATTATATATTCTCCGAATATTTAATTTACACTGTTTGCTTCTTGTTGCATTCAGTAATTGTTGAAAATATTCATATCGATAAAAATTTCGTTCATTTTAACTTTCATAAGTTATGGATCTAAAAGTACTTAATGATTAATTCGGACTGTTTTTTTTCAGAAAATGCTGCAAAATGGAGATCTTGGGACTATTGTCTAAATCTCAAGACGATTGAAGTTCGAATGGAAACAAGAGACATTTTCTTCTTCTTAATTTGGAAACAAGAGACAACAATCACAATAGGTGAAAATTGAGAATCAGTTTAAATATTCGCATCGTTTCGTTAACAAAATATCGTCAAAAACGCAGCTTCGATAATGTCTTGTATTTCAAAAATTCGTTACGTTTTTTGATAGGGTTAGCTTCGGGAATATACGCATACTTTTTAAAACCGCGAACGATTTTTAGGGTGTTCTTAGACCGCGATTTTATTTTTCTTCTTTTTTTTTGCTTAAAGATCGCGATTACAATTTTCAGAGTAAATATTATATGTAATATCGTCGCGTAAGACCGGGAGTGTTCGAACTTGTCTTTAATATGTACTTTGATCGTGTCGAAATTTTTTAAAATCGTGTGCGAGTGTGTGTGTGTGTGTGTTTCACTCTGGAAAACATCGTCGAGCACCACTCCAGGATGGAGATCGGGCACGGGGGAATGCAGTCATCGGTGAGATTTATTTTTTGTTTTTTTTACATGGAGCCGAAGAATCTGAATTTTTCTCAAATTTTAATTTTAAATAATCTTTTTTAATTTATCTACACGGAAAAATTATTTCTCGATTCAAATAACCGATTACTTGTCTATTATGAAATAAATATTTATTTAAATCAAATGATTGTTATTTAAATTAATAAAATGGTATTTGAATCAAATACTGAAACTGTAGATTCAAATATAATTTATTTGATTCAGATGTAATTTATTGGATTTAAATTTAAATTATTTGATTCAAGTAAATATTTATTTGATAATAGATAAGTAATAATCGGTTATTTGAATTAAATTTTTTTTTTCAGTGTATTTATTTATTATTTGTCTATTTATTAATTTATCTAAAGTCCCTGAAATTGAGATCGAGGTTCAGCATCGAATACTATTTTTTGTCATTTTTATTGCAAGTAATTTTACTCTTTCATTAATAATATTTAATTTATTAATATCTAGGAAGTTAAAAAATTTTTTTGAATATTTTTTTAATTTAAAACCTCTGGAAAACATTGTTTGATGATTCTTTACGGTTTTTTGAAGAAAATGTTTTTTGACTCTCAGAGTCCTTTTATTTATTTAATATTTATCTGTTTATTAATTTTTCAGGCTAGATCGTCAGAAAGGAGTTGGCAGAAAAATTGGAAACAACTTCGACAATGGATAATCTGTAAAGTTTGTGGTGCATTCGTTTCATTGAAAGAGTCTACGGTCGGCAAGTCGAATATATATTTGTTTTTGATAACATAGCGACACTTATAATTCATTTTTGTACAAGTGCACTGATTTTGCATGCATTCACACCAGGAAATCTTGATTTTTTACAGTCTGAGAGAATTTCAGATATTTGAACTCGGATGCGAGCCCGAGACGTTTGGGACCAAATAGACCCTCACAAACGCTGCCAAATGCGATTGCGTATGATTTTCATTTTCCCTTTTTTGCATCAAAGGGGAAAAGCAGTGAAATTACCGCTATTAAGGAGTTATTTTTTAATTTATGAGTATAGGCAGGTAATTTTCGCTGTTTGAAGGCAAGTTAGGCTTTTAATTACTGACATAGGCAGGAAATTCGATTATAGTAAATAAATGAGTAAAAGAAGTAAAAATGCTCATAAAATATTGTGCATGACATAGTACAATTTACAGTGTCGCTATGTTCATCACATTTACACTTTCTCAAGTTTCATTTACAGTTTTTTAAGAAAAAAATTTCCTAAAATCTACAAACAGTAGTATGGGATATTTATTTTGAAACTAAACTGTAAATGGGCTCAAATATTTTTTTTTGCCTTGTGCCTTCTTTATTTCAGTGCCTACAGAAGAATTCGTCTTTTCCAGGTGCTTAATTTTATTTATTTAATTTCTTTTTATTGAATTATTACAATTATTTTGTAAAAATTCTTTTATTTGAAAAAATTTGTATTTTTTAAAAAAATTGATCTTTCTCAAGATCTATCTGGTTTAGACAGAAATTGTTTTGGAAAAATAATAGTAATTCGGATTATTTTTGCAAAATAATTCTCATTAGATTTTCTTGACTGTAATTTTTTACGCTGCAAAATGAATTTGCGCGAAATAAAAATATTTTAAGCTGTGCAAAACGAATTTGCTCGAAGAAAAATATTGTACATTGCAAAACGGACTTGCAAGTATTTTATTTATGTTTTAAAAATTTCTTTTGTTTTGCCTCTTTAATGACAGTTTGTAATTATCTGTTGGGGGAAAAAATATGCGCTGCAAATAAACTTTTGCGCGGTTTTTTCATTTTTTCTCAAGGATCGCTATTTTAATTTTCGTTTGTAATAATTTTTTTACTGTAAAACTCTTTACGCTGCAAGTAACTTGCGCGAACTTTCCTTTTTCGTATTTTGAAAATGTGTGACGCTTGACGGCAACATATTTATTCAGTGCTTTGAGTGTTATAATTTTGTAGACGGCAAACAAGTATTTCAAAGTAAGTATTTTTTGGAATTATTTTTCAAAATTAATAGAATATTGATCAATTAATTTAATTAATTAACTAATTAATTAATTAATTTTACATTTTTTATTCTGTATAATTTCTTTTTTCTGTTTCAGGTTTGAAGGGAATTTTACGGTAAAAATTTGTGAGTGTTGATAAAAATTTTTAGATTGTAATAATAGTCTTTCTCTCTGTTTCAGATCATTTTTACTTATTTATCGTATTTATAATTTAAAATTATAAAATTTTCGCTTTTCATGAAAAATTTTATTCTCGTGTTATTGATAATTATTTTTGTTTTAGATTTTGAATAATTCATTTGTTCATTTCATTGTAGAAAATTCCAGTCTAAAGATGCTGCTGTAGATGACACGGTAGATGATGCAGCAGATGATGATTTTAATTAAAAGTGACGTGTGATTTAGACAAGAAACTTGGTGCCGCATTAAGAAAAAGGTAATAATTGATGTTCCTGAAGATTTTAACGTTCAAATGAACGAAAATATTTTTCTTACTTCATTTCATTAGTATTTTTTGAAAAAAAAAATATTTTCGTATATATTATAAAAATAAATGTAATTCTTCTCAAGAATTGAATTCTTTTTATAAATAGTAAAATTCTATGCAAGAATTCAATTATTTTCAATATAATTTTAATGAAATTTTTCGACAGAATTGAATTATTTAAAAAAAATTTAATGTCATTTTTCGGTAGAATTCAATTAGTTTTTGTATAATTTTAATAACTGTTCTCGAAGAAATTGAATTATTAAAAACAAATTAATAAGATTCTTCGCAAGAATTTGATTACTTTCAAATCCACGTTAACATTTATGGGAAGAATTCAATTATTTTCATTAATAATAAAATTCTTCTCCAAAATTCAATTATTTTCACTACAATTTTAATAAAATTCTTGGCAAGAATTCAATTATTTTCGAAACAATTTCAATAAAATTCCTCAAAAGGATTCAATTACTTTCGAAAATTATAATTGAATTCTTCGAAACAATTGAATTTTTGTCAATAATTTTATTAAAATTACTCCGAAGAATTTAATAAATTTTAATTAGTTTTTAATAACATTTCACTGAAGAATTCAATGATTTTTACAATTTGTAATAAAATTCTTCGCAAGAATAAATTCAATTATTTTCATACATAATAATATTCTTCTCAGGTAATCAGTTATTTTCAATTCAATTTGTAATAAAATTCCTCGAAAGAATTAAATTACTTTCAAAAATTATAATTGAATTCTTCGAAATAATTAAATTTTTGTAAATAATTTTATTAAAATTATTCCGAAGAATTTAATAAATTTTAATTGCTTTTTAATAAAATTTTTCTAAAGAATTCAATTATTTTTACGTTTTGTAATAATATTTTTCGCAAGAATTCAATTACATATTTTCATACATAATAAAATTTTTCACAGGTAGTCAATTATTTTCAATAAAATTCCTCAAAGAAATCAATTATTTTCACGAATAATAAAATTCTTTTTGAAAAAATTAAGTTATTTTCATTAATTTTGATATAATTCTTTATAAAAATTCAATTATTTTTAATACTATTTTTTTTATTTTTTTTTATTCTTCAAATAAATTTTATCATTTTCACAAATGCCAATAAAATTAGTATCCAGAACAGTTGAGTTATATTTTCTAAGATTTTAGTAAAATTCTATGCATGATTTAAATTATTTTAGATTTAATATTATTAAAGTTACAAAAATCATAACATTTTCTCCTCAAAAATGTTTTTTTTTTAAATTAGAAATAAATTTACTTATTAATGAAAAATTATTGAAATTATTATTATTTCTAAATTTTTCCAGCAAATATAATAATCGCACAACTTTTTCTCTAAATCTCAATTTGTAAATTTTTTTTTTGTACAATAATATTTATAACAAGTAACTATTTTTTTTTTTTTTTGTAATTTTAAATTAAATTTACAAATTAAACTATTGTCTTTTAATTCAAAAACAATTTTGTTTAATTAATTTTTGATATTATATAATCTTTAAGCAAAGCATTAGAATGTTGAATGTTTTGAATGTTAAATTTAATTTGCAAATTAAATTATGTTCTTTTAATTCGAAAACAATTTTTTTTAATTAATTTTCGTTATTATTTCATTTTCAAAGCATTAAATTAGAATTTCACTAAGTGGCCATCCTTAAAGTAAAAATTTCCAACAAAATGTCTTACGTAATTTATAGACGTACCCTAATTTGAAAAATTCGAAACATTTAGAAAGGAAAATTAGTAAAATTAATTTACTAATGTAATTATTATGTTTCAGGGTTTCAATAATCCACATCGTCCGTCTCATGGCAGAAAATTCCGGTCTGTAGATGATCCAGGAGATGATCTGGTAGACGATTCAGTAGATGATCCAGGAGATGATCTGGCAGCCGATTCAGTAGATGATCCAGGAGATGATCTGGCAGGCGATTTAATAGATGATCCAGGAGATGATCTGGCAGGCGATTCAATAGATGATCCAGGAGATGATCTGGCAGCCGATTCAGTAGATGATCCAGGAGACGATCTAGCAGATGATCCAGGAGATGATCCAGCGGATGATGATCTAGGAGATGAACTGGCAGACGATTCAGTAGATGATCCAGGAGATAATCCAGCGGATGATCCAGGAGATGATCTGGCAGATAATTCAGTAGATGATCAACTAAATGATTTTAATGAACTGACGAGTGATTTGGACAAGAAATCAAGTGCCGCATTAAGAAAAAAGGTAAGAATACTTGAGAAATATAAAAAAGAAAAATGTATCTAATAAGGCTTCTGTAGACATTCGTTAGAGATGAGTGAGAGAGAGAGAGAGAGAGAAAAAAAGAAAAAGAATAAGAAGAAGAAATGTAGTGTCAACTAATGGCGCGCCCTAATGTTAAAAGTCCATATTTCAGATTATAGTATTAGACAGCAAGACACCTTGCTTCTTTTGGAAATTATGATCACTTGTGGTCCCTTTTTGAATGCGTGGAGTGGATGGTTTTCGTGAAACAGGACCCTAGACGTAAATCAACCTGAATCAGTCCCCTTCTCACACGATTGCACACGCACGCGTGTATAAGATATAAATATACGCACTCTTCCTCTCTTATTTTTCATGAAGAGAACCTCTCGATCGTTTTCTCTGGCATGCTCGAAACACGACAGGATTACGATTTCGATCGAGTCGCATCGCAGTTGTGTGCTTGCTTCTCGTCTCTCCCTTTGCAAAAAAAGTAAAAAGCAAAAAAAAAAAAGAAGAAATTCACGAGAGAGAGAAGAGCTTGTCGGAGCGTGAAACGATAAAGAGGAGTAGGCGACGACTGAAAACGATATAATGAACAGAACGAAATCGTATTAAGGCACGAGGAACGACCAGTCCGTTTTATCGAACCGGATGCTATCTTCTCCTCTCTGTCATTTGATCTTGCCTTTCTTCCTCTTCTTTACTCCGATCTTTTTCGCATCTCTTCTTCTTCTTCTTCTTCTTCTTCGTATCCCACTTATTGTGGATTCATATTTGAGGATATTTTTAACACGATATTGGAAAATTGAGTACAACGAATTTTTTTTATTCTTCTTCTTCTTCGTCTCAAAGACCACCCTCGATGACAATTGATTCTTTTGACCAGGTGGAGGCACGCGTGCATTGCATACACAAATTGTTCTTTGATCGTCAATTGCAGTATACTCGTTTCTTCTTTGATCGTTTTATAACCTTCTTGCGGGATGATCGACCATGGAATATCAATGAATAACAAAGATGTTATAAGATTCCTGGAAAGGAAGAGCTGTAAAAAAATTTTATACGCGCGTGGTCTTCGGATTATTTCTGATTGATGGTGTTTAATCATTTGAGAGCAAGAGTGTCGTGTTTGTGATTATTCTTCTTCTTCTTTTTCTTCTTCAATTTTTATCTGCGAATGGAAATTAGAATTTTGTTCGATAGGTGGGAATTAGAATTTGGAATTTTTTTTTTCTATTATAGCTATATAGAAAAATCCAATCGGTAAAAAAAAATATTTTAACAAAATTTTGAACATTCAAATGAAGGAGATTTTTTTGTTTGGATATTTTTAATAATTACTATACTGAATTAATTTTTATTTTATTAAAAACTATTTTAAATAGTAGAAAAAATTAATTGTTAACGAAGAAAAAATGTTGAATTTATTAACGTAAATTCAACATTTTTCTTCGTTAACAATTAATTTTTTAATAAATATTTTTTATTTAATATATTACCTGTTATATTTATTTACTTATTTATTATTATATTTATTTATTTTTTATTATTATATTTATTGATCAATTGTATTCAATTTTTTGAAAAATCTTCAATTTACGAACGTAAATTCAACAGTTTTTCTTCTATAACAATTCATTTTTTAATAAGTATTTTTTATTTACTTTATTATTATATTTATTTACTCATTTATTTATAATATTTATTTATTTTTTATTCTTATATTTATTTATCAATTGTGTTCAATTTTTTTAAAAATGTTCAATTTACTAACGTAAATTCAAAACATTGGCTTCGCCACCAATTAATTTTTTTAATTTACAAAATATTTTTTTAATGAAATATATTTTAAAAATAGGTATTAATAAAATTATCAAAATGTTAAGAAACATTTGAACGTTACAAATTCTAGGGACATAAATTTCATTCAATTTCTTCTTTTACGATTCCAAATTTAATCGAAACAATATTTTCTTTATCTTTTAATAATCAACTCCAACTTTGTTTTCTGAATTTTAATCTTCCAGTTAAAAGTAATTAGAATTGTAATACTTTTTTGATTTTATTTTTAACAAGTTTGACAAAAGTTAGAGAAATTAGGAAAAAATCAGGGAAAATCAACAAAATATTTGAAAACTCAAATTGTGAATAAATTAATAATAATAATAATAATAATAATAAAATATTTAATTTGAAAAAATTATTTAAGTTCAAAATAATTTTAATTCTAAATTCTGGTAAAAAATAAGTTTCTGAGAAATTTTAATTTAATTTTTTAAAGATACTTGAAATTAAAAAAAAAGAAAAAATATTAAAGGACAATCCTGAATTTATGTTAAAAATAATTGAATTTTTCTAAATAATTGGAATTTCCGGATATTCTCTTAAAAATAATTGAATTTTTTTAAATAATTGGAATTTCCGGATATTCTGTTAAAAATAATTTAATTTTTTGAAATAATTGAAATTTTCTGAAATTCTGTTAAAAGAAATTGAATTTTTAATTGAAATAATTTAAATTCCCTAAAATACTATTTAAAAAAAAATTGTGAATTTTTAAAAGAATTTTATTAAATTTTTTGAAAATAATTGAAGTAAATTAGTTTTTAGAATTTAATTCTCTAAATTTTTTTTACACCGTTCAGAGAAAAAGTCAAAATCAAGGTGAAAAACAAAATCAAATTTTTGTAGCAATACTGAGTATAAGTTTTTTGATTTTATTCTCAAGAAATATAATTCCGGTTAAAATTCGTCACCGCAGATTTAATTTTTGATTTCGTATTTTATTTTTTATATTTGGTGATTAAGTAAACGTGAATTAGTTAATGGAGGACCGGAAGTAGAAATGTCCATTCATAGTCAGGCCCACATAATTGAGAAAGATACATCCACTTTTCAATCCAAATATGGTGATGCGACATAGATTAGCAAACTACTTGGAATAAAAACCAGTTATGCATATATTTAGGAACATTGAACATATAACACATACCCTAACTTATATTATTACATTCATCTTTTTTTCAGCGAAACTTTTTTGGGGGTCACTGAGAGAGGAACCATGATTTCGCAATTTCTGAAAGACATTGGCCTTAACATACGTGAAATATACTGATATTGAGAAGGACTTTATTTCCTGCCAAAAAATTGTAAAAACAGGTATGCAGATATTTTTTGTTATAAAATAATTGCAATACAGTTTTAATATAATACAATTTTAATTAAATTCCTCGGAGTAATTCAAGTATTTTTTCTAACTTTATTAAACTTGGTCAAAAGAATTTTATTTTCAAGAGTTTTAATAAATTTTTTTGCTGAAATTCAATTATTTTCACGAAGATGACAGAATTTTTTGCAGGAATTCAATTATTTATGATATTAAATTTTCTTGGAACAATTCAATTTTTTTGACAAAATTTTAACAAAATTTTCTAAAAGAAATAAATTATTTTTCAGTTTTGATAAAATTTGTTTATATGAATTCAATTATTTTCAATATATTTATGACTAAATTCCTCGAAAGAATTCAATTAGGTATTTTCAAAAATTTATATAAAATTTTTTACGAGAATTGAATTTTAGAAAATTTTTATTATTCTCTCAATTATTTATTTTTGTATTTAAATAATTGAATTCTTAAAGCATTTTTAAATAAGAATTGATTTAGAAAAATGTATCTTAAAATAATGAAAAATTTTTTTTTTAATTATTATTAATAAGTTTAATTTTTCATTTAATAAATTTAAGAAGTTGAATGAATTCGATAATTTTAAAATAAAAAATATTGAATATTGAAAGATGCTAGAAATGGGAGGGATAAAAGAGGAGGGGGACCATTAGTTTCGAAAATTGTCTCTTATAAAAAAAGGACTTAATATAATTTAAGTTTTGATTTGTAGAGACTTGGAGGTAGATTTTTAGCTCCACCTTCGAGATGATACATGAACACCACATTCAAATGTATCCACATAAATCTAATTCCAAAACAAACTCCTAGTAAAATAAATTTAAATAATTTTCTATGCATCACGCTTACCTGACAAGTATTAATTCACTTCGAAATATAAAATGAACATAATGAATGTCACTTTTCTCACTTTATTTACTTTTTTCTCCATTTGAATTAAATATTAAAAAATCGAATTACAATAATAACACGATTTACCTTTTTAGTTTTTGTTACAAGACTTTTTTTTATTCAAAAGATTCGCTGTTTTTTTGTTTCTCAATCTCATGTCTAAGAGATTTTTCTTTCTTCACACTTTTTTTTGTATGTATAATGACTTTGTCTCAAAATGGAAAGTAAATTTATATTGTTATCAATTTTTCGAAAAATTTATGATTTTAAAAAATAGTTGGTTTTTGTGATTAGTTTTGATAATCAGAAGCTTTGATTCTCCTCGAAAATTTGGGATTTAAATTATTCTTGAAAATTTTAATAAAATTCTTAGAAACAATTCGACAAATTTTAGTAAAATTGTTTCAAACGATTCAATTATTTTCAATATTTACTATTTTAATAACAAAATTTCTCTGAAGAATTCAATTATTTAAAACAAATTTTTGTAAAATTCTTTGTAAGCATTCAATTATTTTCATAAAATAACATATTCAGAAGAAATTAAATAAAACATTTTAAAACACATTTTTTGCAAAATTTTTCGAAAAAATCAATTACTTAAAAAGAGTTCACAAGAATTCAATTATTTTTATAAATAATAAAATTCTTCTTAGAAATTCAATTAGTTTTTAAACTTTTAACAAAATTCGCCGAAAGAATTAAATTATTTTAAAAAGTTTTGATATAATTTATTTATTAAAATTTAATAGTTATTTTCAGTACCTTTTTAATCAAATTTGTCAAAAGAATTTAATTATTTAAAAATTTTTTAATGAAATTCTTCGCAACAATTAAATTATTTTCAAAGAATTTTAATAATATCCTTCGTAGAAAATTAATAATTTGTAAAAATTTGTCGAAATTCAATTATTTTCAATATCTAATATTTCAATAAAGTTTCCTCAAAGAAATCAATTATTTAAAAAATTTTTTATTAAAATTCGTCGCAAGAATTCAATTACTTTCATAATTTTTGAAATTCTTCGGAAAAATTCAATTATTTTCAATACAATTTCATTTAAATTAAATTTATTTGATTGACTTGCAGTACAATTTTAATTAAATTCCTCGTACGATCTTAAATTTTCTTCGAAACAATTAAATTTGAATTTTTACAAATTTTATTTTTTTTATTATTTTTCTTTAATATTTTCATAAATAATATTTTCCCAAGAATTGAATTATTTAAATTTAGTTTCAATTATGTTTAATGGAGTTTTTAAATTAATTCTTCCAAAAATGCAATTATTCTTGAAAATTTTATTAGAATAATTATTCGAAAGAATTTAATTTAATTCGATCAAATTTAATTTTTCGATAGCTACTTTTTTTCAGTATTAAAGCTACTTTTTTCTATTTTTTAAAAATTAATTATCGAGTGCAAAGTCCGAAAACGAGAATAATATTTATCATTATTTACTATATAGAAGAAAATATTTACCATTATTTACTATAGAATATTAACGCGAAAGAGCAAATAATAAATAAACGTTGAAATAAAATCGGTTAGAAAGAAATTGTAGATACAATTTAAAATGGAGAAAAAAATAATGAAATCCATAAAACAAGTCGCGCTTGTTACGCTATATACATATATATGTGTATTGCAATTTCTTCCGTATGGTGCTATAAAAAACAAGTTTATTTATGTCTGGCAAAGTAATTATTAAAAAGAAAATGTTAAGCACGTCGGGAAATGTCGTGAATGCTGGTGTATAATAGTCGTTTTCATCGCGGCCAGTCTGGAATGTATGTTGAACAACACTTCCCATGGAGCGAGATCGCGCTTCCATCGCGTCGCGTCTGTCCCCCGCTCGCACTTGATAGGTAATTAAACGAAACGTGTAATGGAGTAACGTGTGCACTACCTACGTCAACTATTAGCGGTATCCCGCAAAAGCTTGTTCAGTCAGATTCCATTGCCCTTGGTCGATGCGTTGCATATATTCTAATTTCTCTCTCACTCTCTCGCAGGTATATATTCAAATTGTCAGAAAATATCTCTCTCCAGGGATCCCCCTTTTCTATCTTTAATCCCCTTTTTCTCTATCCTCTGAAACCTACCTATTACTATTTTTTTACGTTATGCTACTATTTGGGTACGTTTTTAGAATTCAGCTACTAAAGGCTACTATTTCTGTTTTTTTTTAGATTTTCCACTACTTTAAATTCGCTAATACTAGAAATCAAAAAACTATTCTCAAAAATAATAATCAAATTCTTTAAAACGATTCAATTATTTTCAAAAAAAGATTCGAAATTCAATTATTTTCAACATCTAGTATTTTTAGAAAAATTTCACAAAACAATTCAATTATTTAAAAAAAGAAATTGATAACATTCATCCAAAATTCAATTATTTCTAGAAATAATCAAATTTACACAGGAATTCAATTAATTTAGAATAGCATTTTCAAAAAAAATTTAAAAAATCAATTATTTAACAAAATTTTTATACAATTCTTCACAATCATTCAATTACTTTCACTAATAGTAACGTTTTTCGTGGAAATTCAATTTTTAAAAAATTTTTCATAAAATTCTAAGCAAGAATTCAATTATTTTCATAAATAATAAAACTCATCGAAGAATTTCAATTATTTTTAATACTACTTTAAATTAATTAATCGAAAAATTCAATTATTTTTAGAACTAAAATTTTCCACAAGAATTCAAGTATTCAAAATACATAAAATTTTCGTAATATTTATTATATTTCGAAAAAATTAATTATTTAAAACAATGTTTATAAAATTCTTATGGAGAGTTTAATTATTTTCAACAATAACAAAATTTTCCAGAGAAATTCAATTCTTTTTAAACATTTTATAATATAATTTTTTGCAATAATTCAATTATTTTTATAAATATTAAAATTTTTCTCAGCAATTCAATTATTTTCATAAACAATAAAATTCATCGCAAGATTTCAATTATTTTTAATACAATTTTAATTAAATTCCTTGAGAAATGTAACTATTCTTAAAAATTTTATTAAAATTCGTCAAAACAATTCAATTATTTAAAAATAATCAAAAATTTGAAGTTTTTAATTTCAAATATATTTAATTGAAGAATTTGCGAATAATAGAAATTTTATAAAATTGAATTGTAAAAAAATGAATTTGAAAATTCTGAATTGACTTTTTCAAAATTTATTTTAAATAATGGATTTATAGATGAATTTTAGTTAAAAACACGAAAAAAAAATTTCATTTTAGAAAAGTTACAAATTATTGCAGAAATTCAATTATTTTTAAGAGTAATAATATTCTTCGCAAAAATTCAATTCTTTTTAAACATTTTAATAAAATTTTTCGCAATAATTCAATTATTTTCATAAATAATAAAATTCTTCTCAAGAATTCAATTATATTTGAAAATTTTAATAAAATTCTTTGTAACTATTTAATTATTTTCATAAATAATAAAATTCATAGCAGGATTTCAATTGCTCAAAAATTCAATTCCTCGAAAAAATCAATTATATAAAAAAATGTTTTTTTAAAATTCTTTGGAAGAACTGAATTATTTACAAAAGTATTAGAATTTTCCACAGGAATTCAATTATTTTCAAGTATTTTAATAAAATTGCTCGAAAGAAATCAATTATTTAAAATTTTTTTATAAAATTCTTCGCAAGAATGAAATTATTTTTATAAATATTAAAATTCTTTCATGTATAATAAAATTTTATTATAGAATATTTAAAAATAATTTCATTCTTTGCAAGAATTGCTTTCAATTTTTTGAAAAGAATGTGGTTTTTTTTAATAATGTTAACTGAACATTTTTTTAAATAATTGATTTTTACATAGTATTTCTTTAAATATTTTCAAATAATCGTGTTTGTTAATAATTGTAATTAAAAATTTGATAATTTAATTTGTAGGTATTAAAATTTTATGAAAATAATTAAATTAGTCTCAGCATTTTATTAAAATTTTTTAAAGTACTTGAATTCTATGGAGAAATTTTTTAAAAGTTGTACTAAAATTAATTGAATTGTTGCGTAGAATTTTATTAAAAAATTTTTAAAATAATTTAATCTTTTCGAGAAATTTTATTTTTTTTCTTGACTTTTTTCAAATTTTTAATTTTCTGATACGAGCAGGTGGGAATGCTGGCTATTAAAAGTTCTCAAAAAAAAATTCGTAATGGTCATATTTTAAAGAGCTTGAATCTTTCTTTAATGTTTGACCAAGAGAAATAATTTTTGGTAAATATTTTATTATTGTAAAAAAATAATACAATTCTTGAGAAGAATTTTATTAAAATTCTGTTAAAAACAATTGAATTTCTATATGAAGATATTTATTATTTGTTAAAAGTAATTCAATTCTTGCAGAGAATTTTATTAAATTTTTAAAAAAATTATTGAATTCTTATAAAAAATTGTATCAATACTTTTGAATTAATAATTAAATTCTTGCAAAAAATTGTATTAAAATTGTGTTGAAAATTAATGAATTCTTGCGAAGAATGTTATTAAAAGTTTAAAAAAATTATAAATATATATAATTAAGTATATAGTTAAATACGCAATTAATTAATACAATTAATTCTTCTGATCTAATTAAATCTTCTTATAATCAAATCGAGAATCAAATCTTGTTGATACAATTAGATCTTATTGACATAATTAAAATAAGAATACCACATCTTATTTGAATACCTAAAAATATTCTGCCTTTGTAAAGTGGTAGAAAAAATAATAAACCAAAAATTTTGTTTTGAAAAGGAAAAATTCCAATTTCGTTAATTAGCAAAAATTTTGATAAATGACGTTTTCAAATCATTTAGAAAAAAATTGTCTGACTCATTCTGATTCTTCTACTTTCGAGTGTTATATTATATAGAGAAGCTCTTTTGAAGAAAGAGAGAGAAAAAATCCACTAAAAGACCAGTAGCTAAACTTCTCATCGTATTTAATTTCTATTTCTTAATCATATACAAGATAAACTTCTATATAATTAGAGCTTTTTTTCATCCTCACACATTTTTCGATATATTTTTTTCTCCCAACATCACAATATAATCGGTGCGTGATGTTTATAAGGAGTTTTTTTTTCTTCTTTTATTATTAAATGACCATGAAATCAACCGAGAGAGCGCGCAGGTATTTATTTGATTTTTTTTCCACTCTTTTCATTTAAATCTCCTCAATTTGGAAATTAACTTGTCATAAATGTCACACGCATGGTGGTCTTTTTGGAATCCCTCTCGCAAGCAAATGTAAATTACATGTATAAATCAAGATAAAATTTTCTCTAAAGAAATAAAAAAAAAGGAAGAAAAAAAGTAAGAACAAAGTAACCTCTATATCAAGAAATAAAAGAGATTTATAAAGTGATTTTCTTTTCGTAACATGTAAAAATATGTCGTGTTTTAGAGATTTTTTCATCCTCTTCTTCTTCTTCTTCTTTTTTTTTGGAGTTGTTTTGAAAATAAATAATTTTGAATAAGAAAGTCTTCATGGACACAGTGTTTGGCATAGGGAATGGCTATTCGTGTATATAGGTGCGTCGTTTTTATTTTATTATCATGAGCCCAACGGTCGTAAATTACAGACTAGAGACGCGGGAGCCAGGTCATTTTACCTATTTTGACTGTGGGTGGGCCCTCACCTCTTGATGGGTTTGGGACTTGGAGAAAAAAATCTCAGGTGTATACAATGGGGTTTCGAGTATGTTAAAGGGGCGTAACGTGTACACTCACTTTTATTTTCCCCCCTTCTCAATATTTACATAGAAAAATCTAATCTACACAATTTATTAACGAAATCAATAGAAACTCCCATTGTCAAGTGTGATTTTTCCCGTATATATTAGAATTTTAAATTATTCAACATTTTTTTTTTCTTTTTATAGAGAAATTATTCTCTAATATACACGATAATAAAATCAAGTTTTAAATAAAGTTTTTTCTTTTTACGTAAAGTGACGTCCGTTATGTGTCAATGTGTTCTAATAAAAGTGTGAGTTATCCGAAAATTACAATTTTTTCGTATTTTACGACCTGAAAGTATAAGTAATTGATTTAAGTTGTAAATATTTTTGTTTAGAGAACAGATTTAGTGATAAATGTCAAAATATGACTTTTATGGGATTTATTTGCTTTTTGAATTTGTTAATCTAAAAGGATTTTTAAGTTATTTCCTTGTGTGTGGTTTTATTTGGTTTTTGAATGTTTCGAAAAAAATCGGTTGTAATATTTTTCTCTTTTTGGAAAATCTATAAGAATTCTTTTATTACAGCTTCTTGATGTAAAAAGGAAAATAAAAGCAAACGGCTTCTGTCGGTTTTTTTAAAAATAGTTGAATTTAATTTATAGTAAAAAAGGGGAGTGTAATGAAAGGGTTGCTACAAAAAAAATTGATTTGGTTTTTCACTGATTTCTAAACAGGGAAAATTTTGATATTTTCTCTGATTCTTATAAGAATTATTTTCCGGAACTTTGAACTAATAAATTTTAAACTACTAAAGACTAAATTCTTCTATAAATCAATTATTCGATTATTTTGATAAATATCAAAAAAATTTACTGATTTTAAAAAGAATTAATTTATTTAACTCAAATAAAATACATTTGGTTAAAATAACATTTTTCTCTGGGTGTATTTAATTAATTATTAAAAATAATGAATTTAGAGAAAAATTTTAGTTAAAAACACTAAAAAAATAGAGTTTTGAAAGATCGAGTTACATATAATTGCAAAAATTCAATTGTTTTTAAAAGTAATAAAATTCTTGGTGAAAATTCGATTACGTTTTAAAATTTTCAAAAATCTTCGTCAAAATGGCATTTATTTTTACAAATAATATAATTTTTCTACAAAATTCAATTAATCAATTTCCAAAAATTTTAATACAATTTTTGGCAAAATTTCAATTATTTTCAGAAGTAATAAAATTCTTGGCAAAATTTCAATTATATTCAAGAGTAATAAACTTCTTCGCAGAAATTTAATTATTTTCTAATATTTAAAAAAAATTCTTCTCAAAAATTCAATTACGTTTTAAAATTTTCAAAAATGTTCGTCAAAATGTCAATTATTTTTACAAATAATAAAATTTTTCTACGAAATTAAATTATTTCCAAAAATTTTAATACAATTCTTGGCAAAATTTCAATTATTTTCAAAAGTAGTAAAATTCGTCGCCGAAATTCAATTATTTTCTAATATTTAAAAAAAATCTTTTTGCAAAAATCCAATTACTCTTTTATAAATAATAAAATTCTTCGTTGAAATTCAATTATTTTGACAAATTTTAATATTTAATATATACAATTTCATTTATTTTCAAAAATTTTAAATAAAATTGTTCTCAAAATTCCAATTATTTAAAAAAAATTTTAATAAAATTCAACGTAAACATTTAATTATTTTCTTAAATAATAGAAAATTTACAGGAATTCAATTTACAAATTTTTGATAAATTTCTTCGAAATAATTCCATTATTTTCATTAACAATTTTTTGCAGGGATTTAATTATTTTCATAAATAATAAAATTTAATTATTTTCGTTTTTAAAAAAAATTCATCGTAGAATTTTAATTATTTTCAATACAATTTAATAGAATTCTTTGAAAAATGTATAATTATATGTTTCAAAATTAAAGTAAAAATCAATTTCAGTCATAATTTTTGGTAATAATTGAGAATTGAAAGCATTATTTTGTGAATTTTTAGAAATAATTGAATTTTGATAAGGTTTCAAATTGAAATCTTTGAAAATCTGAATTTTTCAAACTTTTAACTAACTATTCTATGGAATTAATTTTTTTGAAAAAGTTTAATTAGATTTTTCAATTTTTTAAAGTGAATCAGAATTTTCTTTAGGGTCAGGGAAAAAGTTAAAATCAGTCAGGAAAAAGTCTGAAAATCAGAGAAAAATAAAATAACATTTTTGTGGCAAAACTCTGGTGATGGGACAAAGTGTCTTAATTGAGTTAAAGTATCTTAAATGAAAACATTTATTTTGTCTTAGAGACCAAAAGTGTCTTGATTTTAGACACTTTTGTCTAAAATCAAAAAATTAAAAAGTATATAAGACATTCGTTTTTGCATGACGAAATCTAGCAATACATTTATGAGAAAGCTAAACAGTTTTTTCAGTAGAGTATATGTTTTCGAAAATACTGTCTTAATATCAGTATAAATTGCAAATAGCCAATTAAATTGACGAATAACAATTAGGCAATGAAAATTGATATATTAGAGTTTCGATTTGTGTGGATAAAACAAAGGAACAATTAGATAAGCCATTTAGATTCATTGATTAGTTCCAATCTGAAAAGGTGGAAGTCATAAAACTAAATAAATATTTCTCATTGCAGAACAAGAATTGGTTCCCACGACTGTTAATTGCATGGGCAATCCTAGGAAAGGCAAATGATAGCTGAACGATTACATGTGTAATCCTTGGCAATCTCATCGGTCACCGAATACGGTAGTAGGTGAATAAGATACACGGACACATCCATTCCAAGAGAGAGAGAGAGAGAGAGAGAGGAGAGAGACGAGGATACAAACTTTTACCGGTGTGTATTTATGTATATACACGAATGAAGCTATATAACTTGAAACTCGTTACACTAGTGTTCGTGTGTGTGTGTCTATACACTCATTTTGAGTAAATTGCACACACGCATAGCCAAAGATATTCATCATTGTGCTGCTGTGATACACCTTAAGGCCCAGCCTTTCGTATCCACCCATTCAAACCCCCCACCGCCAATGAATCGTGTATACAAGTCCAAATAAGGGGAAATCCAAAGATGAATTAATGCCCCCACCACATTGGAACGTGGCGCCACGAGCCTTTCCGATCAGTTCTCGTGTCTACTCGTTTCGCCCGCAGAATTCAACTCACGCCGATTTCAGGCATCAACGATCGAAGAAATCAGTGTGAAAAAAAAGGGAAAAAAAAAGGAAAAAATTGTGTGAAATCTCGCAATCTTCCCATTGACTTTAATGGGAGGAGTCACGATAGTGTTTTTAATGGCGGATTTTTGCGATACGCCAATCACATTTGGCTTTTTATTCACCTTACAAAGAGTGAGTGAGTGAGAGAGAAAGAGAAAAAGAGAGAGAGAGAGAGAGACTTGGTTTATAATATGTTCGAGTGAGTGTGTTGTTGCTTGGCATACGGGCGAGCACGCGAACGCGCGCGTGTCAACTATGCGTGGGTGAACTGATGAACAAAGAGGGGAAAATAAAGAAATACATACTCTCTGGATAGGATACTTTCCCTGGAGTCTCTGCATATATAGCATAAGACGAAACTGTACCTGAAAACTTCTTACCCGTTCTCCATTGCATGTAATTTCTTGAAATACTCTTTTTCTTCTTCTCTTCACAGAGAGAAGAAACCATTCAGAAGTTTTTTTTTTTTTTACTTCAATCTCTCAATTAGCTGCGTAAAAAGAGCTAAATCTTTTAATACTGAATCGTAATGTTACTCTAAGTAACAGGCCAGGGTTATTTGTCAGCTTCCGTCTGACAGGTTTTCAACCTTACTTTTTCTATATTGTGCTGTTGGTCTTTTCAACGATCTTTAACTCTCCTTTTGCGTATATATAACCTTTTTTATAACCTGCCTTTAATCTTCTGTCTCTATGTCAAAGATTTCAGTTTAGCTTTCACGTCGTCGCCTTATAATTCTTGTCATGGTTTTTGGGCCTCTTTTCATTTTCCCTCGAAATCTTGGGCAATTTGGGATCTAAGCTTTTTGTTTGTTAATATTGTATTTTTATTTCGAGATCTTTGTATACTGAATTGTGACGACTTTTCTTGATAAAAAAACCCTTAAAATTAGGAAAAGAAGGTTAAAACTTTGTCAGTTTGATATAATTTTTAAAGAATTGCAGGCTTCGCACTATTCCACTAAAACCTACTATTTACTAATTTTTTTTACGTCAGGATACTATTTGGGTACTTTTTTAGATTTCAGCCACTAAACGCTACTATTTCTGTTTTTTTTTAGAATTTCCACTACTTTAAATTCGCTAATACTAGAAATCAAAAAACTATTCTCAAAAATAATAATAAAATTCTTTAAAACGATTCAATTATTTTCAAAAAAAGATTCGAAATTCAATTATTTTCAATATCTAGTATTTTCATAAAATTTCGCAAAATAATTCAATTACTATCACTAATAATAACATTTTTCATGGAAATTCAATTTATAAAAAAAAAATTTTGATATAATTCTAAGCAAGAATTCAATTATTTTCAAAAATAACAAAATTATTCATAAAAATTCAATTCTTTTCAAACATTTTAATAACATTTTTCGCAATAATTCAATTATTTTTGAAAATTTTTAAAAAATTCTTTGCAACTATTCTTTCTTCAATTATTTACCTACATGAATAATAAAATTCATCGCAGGATTTCAATTATTTTTAATACAATTTTAATCAAATTTCTCAAAAAATATAATTATTCTTAAAAATTTTATTAAAATTTGTCGAAAGAATTCAATTATTTAAAAAAGATTTTATTAAAATTTTACGCAAAGAATCAATTATTTTTATAATTAATAAAACTCGTCGTAGGATTTCAATTATTTTTAATACAATTTTATAATCGAATTTCTCAAAAAATATATTTCTACTATTTTAATACAATTTTCTAAAATAATTCAATTATTTAAAAAAGATTTTATTAAAATTCTACGCAAACAATCAATTATTTTTGTAAATAATAAAACTCATCCCAGAATATTAATTGTTTTGAATATAATTTTAATGGAATTTCTTGGAACATGAAAATTCTTAAAAATTTAATTCCAATTTCTCGAAAAAATAAATTATTAAAAAAAAATGTTTTTTAAAGTTCTTTGGATGAATTTAATTATTTACAAAAATATTAGATTTTTGAAAGGAATTAAATTATTTTAAATTATTTTAATAAATTTGTTCAAAAGAAATCAATTATTTTAAATACATTTTTAATTAGATTTTTTTTTTAGAAATAATTCAATTATTTTTTTAGATTTTAAAAAATTCTTTCACCGACAATTATGTCGATAAATGACAAAATTATTCCCGAAAATTCAATTACTTTGAGGCATTTTAATAAAATTCTTTGCAAAATTCAATTATTATCATAAATAATAAAATGCTTTTTAGGAATTCAATTATTTTCTGAAAATTTTAATAAAATTCTTTAAAACTATTCAATTATTTTATTAAAATAATCAAATTGATCGCAGGATTTCAATTATTTTTAATACAATTTTACAGGAATTGTTAAAAAAATGTAATTATTTTTAAAAATTTAATTTCTATTCCTAGGGAAAATCAATTATTTAAAGAAAAGATTTTTTTAAAATTCTTTGTAAGAATTAAATTATTGACAAAAATATTATAATTTTTCACAAGAATTAAATTATTTTTAAATATTTTAATAAAATTGTTAAAAATAAATCAATTATTTTAAATACAATTTTAATTAAAGTTTTTTGAAATAATTCAATTATTGTTTTAGATTTTAATTCAAATTTTTCCCAAGAATTTAATTATTTATATAAATAATTGTTTGCAAAGTTAAATTATTTTTATAAATAACAATATTCATCACAAGAATTAATTTATTTTTAAAAGTAATAAATATCATCTTGGAAATTCAATTATTTTAAAAAATTCTAATAAAATTGTTCAAAAATTTTAATAGAATTTTTTGTAAAATTTAATTATTTTTAAAAACTTTTCACAATTCAATGATTTTCAATATCTACTATTTTTATAAAATTTCCAAACAGAATTCTATTATTTAAAATTTTTTTTGCAAAAATCTTCGTAAGAATTAAATTTTTGTCTTGAATAATAAAAATTTCTAAGGAATTTAATTATTTAAATTAGAATTTGCATAATATTAGTCGAAAGAAATCAATAATTTAAAAAATTTTATAAAATTCTTCGCAAGAATTAAATTATTTTTATAAATATTTAAATTCTTTCATGAATAATAAAATTCGTTGCAAGAATTTAATGTATTAGCAGGATAAGAAAGAAGTAAATATTTGTTATGAAAATTAAGAAAAAGTAAGAAAAATAAAATACAGATAAATACATTTTTTTTGCAGTGTAGTAATAATAATAATATTAATAATAATTCTAGTAATAGCAGTAATAATAGTAATGCCTAAAAACAAATCTAATTAGTTATTATTAACTATTTAATTAGTAAAGTAATACTATATTTGAATCAGTGACTGATTTTTCACTATCAAAATATTTATTTTTAAGTAATTTAAATTTAGAGTGTAATAAAAATGAAAATAGTACTAATAATAGAAATAGGCAGTAATAATAGGAATAATAATAGTAACAAAAAAGTAAAAAAATAAAAAAAGTAATCAATCGAAAATGGAAGAAAAGAATTTTGAAAATATATCTATAATTGTTATAAACTGACAGATTCAATGGAATTTAACGTATCCTCGCACATATAGCAACTATTATAGTACCTAACTATTTATCAATAAGTATCTTTTGATTCCTGACATTCAAGAAATGAAATAATTCTCTCCCTCTTGGAAGATATATATATAGTGACAATAAATGAAAAGATCATGAACTTTTCGATTCCATAATATTCTCTATACTATATTTATATAAATAATAATTATCACCTTTATTAGAATTTAATTTATTTTCATTAACAATAGATTTTTAGTATCGATCAATTTTTTTTTACCAAATTTTTCTACTCTCCCTTTTTTTGACCTTTAAAATGAAACGAGACAATTATTTAATATCAGTCCAATCTGTATTAATCTATTAATACAAATTATTGCATTAACCTTTATAATGACAAATGATGGTAGATTAGTATAAAAAGGGTTTTTTTTTCTTGAGATATTTAAAATAGTAAAGTAATAAATAGTAAAATGAGTTTTAAAATCATTGTTTATGCTTCATTGAATTCGGGATATTTCGAAGTATTTCTGAATGTTAAATTTTTTCTAAATTAAGTTATTTTTAAATATTTTTTCTATTTCTGAGTTTTCTAATTCTGAACTACTTCTGAATATTAAACTTTTTTCTAAATATTAAATTATTTCTAAATGTTAAATTATTTTTAAATATTTATTATATTTTTGAATTTTCTAATTCTGAACTATTTCTAAATATTAAATTTTTTTTCAAAATATTAAGTTGTTTCTAAATAAAACGCTATTTCTGAGTATAAATTTTTTTCTAAATATCAAGTTATTTCTGAATATAAAGTTAATTGTATTATTAAGTTATTCCTAAAGTATAAAGTTATTCCTAAGTAATAAGTTATATTTCTAAATTTTAAGTTATTCCTAATATTAAGTTACTCCTGAATATTTCGAGTTATTTATGAATATTTCAAAATACCTTTTAGGACATTTCGAGGCACTTGAATATATTTCAATTTACTTTAGAAAATTCAGGATACAAATAGATATTTCAGAACGATAAAAAAAAAATAAAGTCGTTTTTAGACAATTTCGAACAAACACTCTAAATTTGAATTACATAGTTAAAAATAACTATTTTTTTGATAGCAAAAAGTCAGTGACTGATTCAAATTAGTAATTTTCATAAACTAATCAAATATAGTTATAATGATGACTAGTTATTAGCTAAAATCTCTTTTTTGATGTGTCAAAATAATTAAATTTTTTTGTAACTAATTTAATTAGTCAAATTCGACAATTTTTTCAGTTATTTATTTACTAATAAATAATTAGTCATTTTTTACTAATAATTACACTCAGAGAAAAATGTTGGTTGTTTCAAACAAAATTTTGTTGTTTTAAGGATTCTAAGTTCTAAATTCGAATTCAAAATTCAAAATTTCTTAGTGGCTGAGAGATTTTTTTCTAAGAGTAGCAATGAGTTTGTTTCTCATTGCTGAAACAAAAAGTATTTTAAGTTTTACTACTAATTAGTTTCTTTAAAAATAAAATTCAGATTAGAATTCAAAATCGTTGAGTAAGAAATTCAAAATTCTTCCAAATATTGAAGAAATTTCAAATTTCATTTTAAATTCAATTATTATTTTCTATAATTTTTAACTACAATTTTTCTTTAAATCAATTTTTTAAAATAATTTTTAAAAAAGTTTAAACAAAATTCGAATAAAAAATGTTTGCAAGAACCTTTCAAAGAATTCAATTATTTTCGTAAAAAAAAATTCTTCAAAGCAATTCAATTACTTGAGAAATTTTAATAAAATTCTTCCCAAGAATTCCATTTTTTTGACAAAAATAAACATTTTCACAGGAAT